CATGTTGCTTTAATACTGTCAATCACTGTATTTAGCTTTTCTTAGGTTCGCTGTAGGTATTTATCCAGACTACTGTCTTGAAAATGGAATAAAGTCTATAAATATATAGAACATGCTTAAATAAAGCATGTCTTGTCCATGTTCCCCACTGACAGCTTGTAACCATTTTTCCAATTATTTTCCATAAATCACATTGACCACTGCTCATTTAATAACAAGCAACCAGCAAATCAGTAGCCAGACCCCAGAGCATGGCAGAGCCAACAACGTTGTCCTTCAGGTAAGAGGCGTTTACTTTGGGACAAATTGGGACAAAATGAATCTGGTACTGCTGGTTATTACACTTTTAGTGAGTAATTTATGGTGAAAACAACTCTGAAGTATCAACACTGTACTCTAACCCTGAAGTCTTAACTCTGGAGAATTTGCTTTGTGTCCTGAAACAGCAGGACTCATCAAACTCATCAGTTTGTTTGGAACAGTGAGCTCATATAGTGTCAACGTACAGAACTTCATTGTAACAATTTCAGGTCCTGTTGAATCAGGAATTTCTCTCCAATTTCAACATTGGAATTGGATCGAAATTGCGATTTGTTAAAGTAGCTAAATTAAAAGCTATATAAATAGCCAGTGGTTCTGCGGTAAGGACTAAAGTTGCTGTCTGGCTACGAAGGCAGATCATCCCACATCAAGTTTGCTGATTAAATGTCTTTTTTGAACCATTGTTTGAATTTTCTTAACATGTATGCTTTGTTTTGTCTTTTCTTCAGCTTGCAAATCTGCATCGTGTCGTCATCTGCACCATGAAGTTGTTATCTGTGTTCCTCCTCCTTTTCTCCATAATGGAGAAATGCTCACTGGCACATGGTGACGGTGAGTACTCATTAAATATAAATAAATCATAATGTGACAAACATACGAAATCATGTTTAAAAGATCTAAAGCCCCAGATGATGGCTCTCCTGGTGACGGTCAGTGAATGTTTTTATTTCCTCTGCATTAGAGTTCAAAATGCAAACTCAAAAATAGATCTTCTTGTATCATTTGTACTCCTTCTCCAGATTATTTAGCTTATTATCTTAACATGTCAACACTGTACTTTTCAAAGTACACACTGAGTTATTTCTCATCAATGTGAGAGTTATTTTGTAGAATAAATTTAACGTTACATCATTTTGATGTTGTAGCTTGTCACAAATAACAGGCTTGCTATAACACTCATGCCAGCTACCCCATTTTATCTGAACTCTGCATTTGCTTGTCAGAAAAAGCTAATTTGCTCCAGAGATCTGTTGAGTGTCCCTCTGGCTGGACTGCAATCAACGATCGCTGTTTCCGCTACGCTGGCAAAACCAAGACTTCTCTTCCAGCTGAAGTGATTTCAGACAACAATGTTCTCTTCATTCTTTTGCTGTCTTTTATTTTACAGTTCTTAATTGTGAAAGTCCAGCTAATCTTTCAGCACATCATTATGTTTTTATCTGTAGGAGGCAAACCTTGCATCAGTTCACAGCAAAAGCGATTATGAACAGATTCAGAAACTGGTATTAACCCTATGTAGTCGCTGCCCGCCGCGCGGCATACAAGCATGTGACGCAATTATAAGGCTTCGTAATAACATTGACGCATACCGAGTTTTCATTTCAACTCTGTTGGACAGGACGCACTTCAAACTTTATAAAAGTGGTGTTTTTATATTGGTTTTGTGGTTATTTACTTCAAAATAAAGCCAGAAATAAGATTGATAATTTCCGCCTTATTTTGTGGGGTCTAAATGTACCACATTTCGAAACGACCAATGAAAATGTGTTGATGGTCTGTTGCTAGGTAGAACGGAGACACGCAGAGAGAGACGGGGGAGGAGGGGGGGGAGGACTTGGATATGGCAAGAGACTAGGGCGCAGCCATGCTGTGGATTTTACTAGGTTTTTTTAGACTATAAGTGTGTTGTTAGAGTTCGTGGTGTGTGCAGTGTTAGTAGTAGTTTTGCTAGCTATCGCTACATGGCTTCATAGCGAGCGCTGACGCACTGACAAGAGAGACTGCGCCCAGGATGGCCATTTAGACCTCGTCTTCAAAGGGTTAAAGGCAACTGGTCTCAACACTGCAGCATGGATCGGAGGCTCCAATACACTGCAGGTATTGTTACCAGTACACTTTGGTTGTTAAGTATTTTGTGAAACATTGAATAAAACATGTCATCTGCTGTATCCAGTCAAGGGCTTTTAAGTGGAACGATGGAACCCCTATGACCTACACAAACTGATGTATTAAACAGCCTAATGGACTTGGCCATCGGTTCTGCATTCAGATGAACACTACATGTAAAAGAAAATTTCACACAATCTGTTTTTTTGTTGTTGTTGTTGCTAAAAGGACTCATGGGTGAAAAGCTTATTTATCGTGCATGTTAACTTCTTAGTTGACCTATATTTACATTTACTGCACTGACAGGAGGTGATATTTTTGTGGTACAAAGTTTTATTTGATCAACTTTTCAAAAATATTTTATGACAAAGTGTAGGCTGCTTAGTGATTTTTCTGATGTGATGTTTGATTTGTTTTCTTGCTCCTAGTTGACAAGTGCTGGGATGACGTGAGCTGTCCTCTTAGGATGCCGTTTGTCTGCGTCAAGAAAAACTCGCCACCCAAAGGAGCTGCGGCTTCAAACAGATACAGTGGAGGATGACTGCTGTGGTGGAAAATTACTACAAGTTAACATCTGCTGATCATGTCATATTAAATGTTTGTTAACTCTCAGCAAATGAAGCTATTTGGGCAACATGTACACAGTTGAAAGTTGTTTCCCACAGCTGCATGAGAACCAGACTGTCTTACCCATTTGTTTTGAATTCCTTATCCTTGGTATAAAACTCATGTGTTGACTCTGCCTGGCAGAGCTTTTCATCCAGATCTGCTTCATGATTGATTGTCCTATGAGCTCTCCGAGTTGTGCACCATTCATAAAAAAACCTGATTGAGTGATTTCACCTGAACATCCATTTTCTGTGCACCCTTGTCCCTAGTGGGGTCAGGAGGGTTGCTGGTGCCTATCTCCAGCTATTTTACCTGAACAGTGCTTGGTAATCATTTTTCTCCACAACACTGCTCCATGTTTTATTTTTCCTGCAAAATAAAACACTAAATAAAGATTGTGATATGAGAAACTCTTCCTGTTTTTCATTTCACCTCCTTGTAGCTTGAAGTCACGCTACTTGAATCAAATGTTGCAACAACCTTTATTTCCTTGAATAAGTTGCTAAGTTGGGTGTTTTCTCTGAAATGTGTTGAGCACAAATTAGCTAAAATACAAAGCTTTTGGCCCATGTTGGCACGAACATCATCCAACCTCACATACTGAAAATCCCCCAAACTCAGGCAAGACATTCCAGACGAGGAATGGCCCAAGACGGTTTCAAGCCAGATGTTTTCTTTGGTATGATGGTGGAAAGAGTTTGTCCTGCAACTGAGCCCTCTTGTTCTGCGGGGACACATCCGGTGGGATTTATTCATAATAACAGGACTTCTGCTGTTTGGAGCTTGCGGATTCCTGGCTTATTGACGAATTTGTGACGGACTTGGCCGAACTAGCAAACACTCAGACTGTCGGTGTGGACAGAGACGCAAGTTGGATGTGAGTCTTTCTGAGACTCTCAGACCTGCTGAGGACTCAAAAACTCATTAAGGGAATGGAATCGATCTTGGAGAAGTTGCTAGTTTCGGCTCAGTGGAACGACCAAACTAATTTGGATAATTGGGAACTGAGATGTATCGGAGAGACTTTAGGGAAAATTGAAATTCATAATCTATCCGACCTAAGACATTCTGTATCTGAATTGGCTTTCCCCGTGTGGCCTTGGAAGGGCAGCATATTTCCAATCTCCTTTAAGATATGTAAACATCACACTCCTTCCCACCTCACTCCCCGCCCCCGGCTCAGGATCAGTACATAACGAAATAATCACAGCGATGGAGGACACACACCAATGAGGTAGATATATAGAATTTTATTTCAAGCCTGGGCTTGAGTATAAACTACTGAGATTATTATTTTTGTTGGGTCATTCATTTGAAGACTTTTTCTGATTTTTGTTGTTTTTGAATAAAGTTACGAACGTTTGAGTCAGAGGAGGACCTGCTGGTCTCAGCCTCCTGGAGTCGTTCAGTTAATCCCGAGATCGACTCAAAATCTTCCGCGATAGACGTATTGCAGCACTGCTCTAGCAAAGCACAAACAGTTCAGAAACAATATGAAATGGGAAAAAGCTATTTATTAACTGATTAAGCCGTGTTAATAAATAGCTTGTTCTTGAAATAATAGATTGTTTTTGAAAAACTAATCAGTCATGGCTGAGTGGTTGGCGCACTCACGGCTGCACAGCGAACTCATTGACTTTTTACATCAGAAACCTGCTCCTCTCTCTTGCAGGTACTGCATACCCCCGCTAAATCTTTTAGGGGTACTACTATTAGAAACCAGAGATACTTAAGTACTCACTATTTAGATACAGAGACCAGAAGCCCAGAGGAAACTTCTGGATCAACATTGTTAGACTATTTTTCAGACTCCTGTTCTCCCAACCCAGAAATGGAATTAGACCAGAGGAAACTTAGAAACCCTGAACAGTAGCATCTAGTTTACATACTTTAGATTAACATTAGATTCTCTTTCTTCTTTTGCTCTTTCCTTTGGTTTGTTATTTTGTTTGCGTTTCCTTTTAATTCATATAAAGCACTGTGAATTGCCTTTTTGCTGAAAATGTGCTATATAAATAAAATTACCTTACCTTATATTAGAATGGGAGAGTGGCAAAGGAAGAATTTATTTCATTCATTTGGCACGGTTTGCTTTCACATTGTGTTTTTGGCAAGCGTACTGTAATTTGTAAACAAGGCCACACCGGTGATGATCAATGCTTCCAATGGACAGAAATGAAGTGAGACAAAGCACTAAAACCTCCAGATGTCTGGAAATTACAATGCATTAGATGCTCACGATCAGAGCTATACGTTCTCTCCTGTTTGATAAATGCACCTTTGTGATTGCTAATTACACTCCTCAGTGTTTTGGAAGAAATGTGAAGCTATATTTGCACTTTATTTATGTGGTAAAAAAATTAAACATACTGACCAGTGGCAGGTTCAGAAATGATCGGCCTTTTGGAAAATCTCCCAAACCTTTTGTCTGATCTGCTCCTGATGCAGAGTCTCATACCTGAGCTGCTGAAGCTTGGAGCTCCTTCAGCCTGGTCATGTTGTCCTGGTTTCCTCTCTCACTAGTCTCTTTCTTCCACAGTCACTCAGTCTGAGGACGACCTGAGACGAGGCAAACGGCTGTTTACTGTGTTCAATATAAACAGTTTATCTGTTTATGCTTTCTAAATAGAAATGTTAAGGTAAAGATAACTGGATGATTTGAACTCTGAACTTTCACAAAGTGTAATTGAAAACAAAAACCACCACCCAGCCTTGAGAAACCGATTGCATAGACTTAGTCACAACTTTAAGTTCCTGTTGAACTAGATGTGAACTATCAGGTCATTTCTACCCTTATAATTTCCTCATTTTGTGGATGTAACAAGACTAAAAGCTCTATAAATATCCAGTGATTCTGCAGTAAGGACTGAAGGTGCTGGCTGGATAAGAAGACGGATCATTCTGCATCAGGTTTGCTGATCAAATTTCTTATTGTCTTAGTGCCAATGTGAGTTTTTCTTAACATGTATGCTTTATTTTAACTTTTCTTCAGCTTGCAAATTTGCATCTTATCATCTGCACCATGAAGTTGTTGACTGTGTTCCTCCTGGTTTCCTCTGTGGTCGTTCAGGCCAGTGAGTATTAAATAAATTAACAAAGTACACACTGAGTCATATCTTGTCAATGTGGGCATTATGTTTTAGAATAAATGTATTGTTGCATCATTTTGATGTTATAATTTGTCACAAAATAAAGTTATTATCAAACTCATGCCACATAAGCCATTTAACCTGCGTTTGTTTTTCATCAGCACATTTTGGCTCGATCCAGACATCCATCACCTGTCCTTCTGGCTGGACTCCGATCAACAGTCGCTGCTTTCTCTATGTTCCCAATGACATGACTTGGGCGAATGCAGAGGTGATTTCCAACAACATTGTGCTCTTATTTCCTGCAGCTCTGCTTTATTTCACAGTGAGAAATAAAACAGACTTCATTTAGTTGTTGTGTGTTTATCTGTAGAAAAACTGTCTGTCCAAGGGGGCAAACCTTGCATCAGTTCACAACGCGGACGAGTACCATCAGGTTCAGAATCTGATAGCTGCAGCAGGTCACAGGTCCAAACTAGCATGGATTGGAGGCACTGATGGACAGCAGGTAGTTTTACCAGTACAATTTACTTCTCAAGTATTTTATAAAACATTGAATGAAATGCGTCATCTGCTGAACTTTGTCTTGCAGGAGAAGACTTGGTTTTGGAGCGATGGAAGCCCGATGATCTACACAAACTGGTGTTACCGACAGCCTGATAATGGATTAGGCACACAGCACTGCCTACAGATGAACTATACAAGTAAAGAAATATCACACAAGTCTGTTTCATAATCATAATAATTTTGGTAGTTGTATCCAACTTAAAACAAGACAAGTTTGGTCAGATTTACCTTATTCTGTGTATACAAATATCTAGTTCAACTGTACAATTCATCGGCCACCTCAGGATTTTCTTTATGTGACGTTTGACTGATATTTGATATTTGTTGTGTTGCTCCTAGATGAAAAGTGCTGGGATGACTGCTGGTGTCATTACCGTCGACCTTCTGTCTGCTCCAAGAAGGCCTGAAAAAAAGGTTCCCAAAGAGGCCTGATGTGTAAAACAGAACCAGTGGAGGATGAATGCTAGGAGTTTCTGTTTACCTGCCATTTTGCACCTTCATAGAAAACCCAAAAGATATTTCTGCTTCTTCACTTCATATCATTTCTGTCTTTAATGCAACCTAAAGAATGAAGCGACAAGCAAACAGCAGCTGGATTGTCTCTCTGTAATAAGATCAGACTGAATGAGTTATAATAAAAGATCATCTAAGCAAAACTTTCTTCTATTCTTTGGTCTAGCAAAAAATAAAACTTTGAGCAATCAAGACAAGACAATGTGTGGTTTATTCTGTCTTTGTGTTGTTCTGTTTTCCCAAATTATTTTTAACACTATTATATGCTAGTTATTACAATATAAATATCACATTATAACAAGTTTTAGTCAAACCTGAGGTTCTTTCCTCATAAAAGCAAAGAAAAGTTACTTTCTATGATGTGGTGATGTATTTTCGTCTTTACTTTGTGCTGGGACTGCTCTCATCAAAGGTTTGAAGTTATTTCCTCAGGATTTCATATTAATGGAGTTATAAATGTACACTCTAAGAAATAATCCTGTAAATTTACAGTCAAATACTGGCAGCTATAGACGCCAGAAGTTTAATGTAAATGCACAGTAGCTGTACCGTAATTAATCCTGACAGTAGATTACAGTCAATGCAAGTACGGTATAGATACTGTGAAAGAACGGTAAACTTCTGGCGTCTATAGCCGCCAGTAGTTTACCGTTTTTTCGAAAGAACGGTAAAATACTGGCGTCTGCCCCAGCAGAACTAAAATACTACGATGGTCGACAGGTGCAAATGCGCAGCAAACACGAGAAAAACAAATATAACTAAGGCGCAAACAAAAAAAGATGCAAAAATATACATAAAAACAAGTGTTCCAGACCACTAGAGCTTTGTGTCTGAGTTCAGGGTCTGCATTTTTTCAAGCTTATTCTTTCGTGGGCTTGAGAAACGATCCGGTCTACGGAAGAGGGGTCCTGCGAAGGAAGAGAGCATTACAGAGAGAAGCTGTATCCTTCAGCTAGCTGCCTAGCCTCCACCTCGGCGTTATGTAGCATAGCAACCTTGACACATGATTTAAACAATGTTTGTAGGCGAGAATGTAGATGTATAAATCTAACATTTCTGCTCGGTTCATCTGTGCATCACCTAATTGCAATATCTGTCCGACGTTTTCGGAGACGTCTGCTCCCGTTGTATCAACACCCAGCTCCCCTCGCCTGCTGCCAGCTGGTCCAGATTTAGTATACCACGGGAGAACACCCGACTCGTTTGGGCTTTCCCAAATGACAGTTAAACACAGATATTAAGTCAGGTAACATCTAGTTGTAATATTTTGGTTCACTAAAATATTTCATTTATTCCTGAGCAAATCGGTTTGACTGATTAAAGTTAAGCCTAAAAACATAATAGTTTGATTAAACTGTATTGTCTTACTGTACCTGAGATTTGGAGAGTGTTTGAAAAGGGATTCTTTGCTTACATTCCTTGTGTAAATGTACTATACGTGTTGGAACACTAAGAATCCGACTAAGAGTTTTTTAAATATGCAACAGGCTTTTTTTTTTTTTTTTTTACGAAAAGTTAAGAGTAATAGAGAAATAAGGAGAAAATACTTCGAGTCAGTTTTTTTTTCCTTCGCCACTATGTGATTCATGTTGTCACGGTTGCTAAGCAACAGAACGCCACAGTAGAGGCTAAGCAGCTAGCTGATAGCTACAGCTTCTCTCTTCCGGTCTTCGAGAACCCAAGGATGCAAAACCTGACTTCAGACACAGCTGTTCTTTGTTCGACTCCCCCTAGTGGTCTGGATCACTTCTGTTTTTGTTTGCATTTCTTTTTTGTTGCATGTGTTTTTTGCGTCTTTGCTGGGTGTTTGTACCTGTTGGCCACCATAGAATACAGTGGTGAAAGTAAATATAACTTCAAATAGTAGCCTTCCAGTATGTTTACAGTAAATTTAGTTTTACTACTGCATTCACTTTATTAGTAAGCTACTGCAAAGAAAACTGTAATGCTACTTTTTAAAGTACAGTCTTAGTTTTACGATAGGACATTAATACCTGACCCAGTGTAGGCTTCTTAGAAGTGCTACAATTGGTGAGGTTCTAAAATGCATAATCTGTACAATCAGAACTTCACATAACACAAAAGAGGATGTGATAAGCAACCTTCAGAACATCATTTTTATTTAAAGGCACCACTATGCCTCAAACCACATATATTTCCAGTATATTCAAACATTCAAAACGAATAACACAAAACCATTCCTCAGAGAACTGGTAAAAAAAAAAAAGGCCTTCAAAGTCCATATATAGTTTCACCAACACTGGAATAAAAAGTCCTGCAACTTTTCGATGCATCTCCAACAGACCAGGATCAGCTCCGAACGGACCTGCTAACCAGCCATTCATTTGATTCAGGTGTGTTAATTGGCGCAGGGAAGCATCTGAAAGTTGCAGGATAGCAGCTCTCAAGGACTGGACTTGAGCTCCCCTGTACTGAACAGTCGTACCGCGATATCCAAACAATTAAACTTACGTTAAGCATAAGTTGATACTCTTGCGCAAACAGAAAGTTAATGCATTCATAAAAAATAATCAAAACAAAAACATGATGGTCTTAACATGTAACTTACCTTTTTTTTCTTTAATTGATCTTTATTGAGATACAGAATACATAACAGTATAAAAGCAGCATATATTGTAGTATAATGTCCGCCAGGGAGTTACAAACATTGAGACAATACATCACCATCACATTACATAAATACATTAAAGAGAGAACATTAAAAATAGGACATAGAGACCAAAGTTTTAATAGCTTTGGGGAACTACCTTGTTATGATAAGATCCAGACAAGACGCCATACTACTGTCTCCAGGGCAAACACGTGACGTCACAGAGACGTTGCGATTGTGGGAGCAAGTCTTTATCAAACACCATCTCTTTAGGGAAACTGACAAACCCATCTTTGAATTTGACTAAACAAGTGTTTAATTAATATTATATTGTTAACATACAACACCAACACTGGTAATTAGGCCCGAGCAGCGAAGCGCTGCGAAGGCCTATTGTAATCTAACACTTTTAATTGTGCTCTGTAGATTTCGATTCATTTCCTAAAAGATTTATTATGGAAAGTATTTTTTTCTTTCCGTTTAATATTGTCTTTAAATGCCGGTTCTCTAAGATGCAAATACAAGTAAAATGTCTTGCCTAGGAAAAAAACTGTATTGAACAATTATTTTGTGGTAGTTTACTGCTAGTCGTCAGTCTTGATTGTGACAATAGAAGAAGACATCAAATTGACAATATCCTACCGTATTTTGGAATAACAGTATGTTACTGCTGGAATTCCGCCGTAAATTTACAGCCATTTCTAGGAGTGTAGAGAATTTATCTCACTGAAACTAATGAAAATTTAAAAATGGGGAAGGTTTCCTAGTTTGCTACTTTCTGTGCTGCAGTATCAACATTTAAAGTGCAGTTGTTACATGTTTCTTCTAAAATACATCTGAGTTTGTTGAGTCATTGAGTGGAATGCTTTAATTTAATTTTACACTGATCCGTGTAAGATGATATTTCCAGCTTTCGTCAACTGATCTGCTTCGGCTCCAACATTCAGGCTCAAGTTCAACACTTCTGCTTACTTTAGTTATCCCTCTGTCCCATTTGCTTGTAATAGTTTGTTCTGTGGCATCTGATGTCAGGCAGAGTTGAGAAGCAGGTGTTGATATTTTAATTGAAGAACTGTTCAGATGTGTTGTTTTCAAATGCAACAAAGGATAACAGAGGTTCATCTGATACCTTTAAGAGGCAATTAAATCAAACCATTACTAATGTGTAAAAAATAGAATACCAAAAGGTGCAACTCTGCCACCTGCTGACATCACATAGTAACTGCAGCGAAAAAATATATTTCAAGACTGAATTTTTTGTCATTTTAATGATTATGACAGAAAAAACCCCATAAAAAATTGGCAAATTAGGCAAACCATTGCAGGCTGTGGTTGGTTGGACCTGAGTACATTAACAGTAAAAATCAGACAGCAGTTTGTTTCATTACTTTGGCTGAATCATAATAAACTGCCTCGTTATGAATTGTAAATCAAAACTAGCTAAACTGGCTGCATTGCTTTTATAGACTTCAGTTTTTTGTTGCTGTTTTTGAAGGTAGCAAATATTTCAATCACATTTAGCTGTTTAACTCTTACTTTAATGAGATGAGTTTGAAACGGGAGGGGCTGAGCGTTACCACTAGCCAACAGCTGGTGTGGTGGAGAGAAGAGCAGATAGAAAATCAGAAATGTTTGCCTTTAAAACCATAATATTTTCCATAAAAAACCATGGTGCTTTGAACGTTTACCTTAAGTTAAAACACTTCAACTGCAGCCATCCTGGACATGGAAAAACCAGAAAATGCATTGTGGGACACCTTGCTGGTCAATCCTGTCACTTTACTTCAAATGACTTAAGTTTGTTTTGTTTTTAAGGATTTTTTTTGTCTTTGTTTTTCAGTGGTTTGACAGGAAAGTGAGATATGAGAGCGAAGAGAAAACTTGTGGCAAAGATCAACGGGTCGAGAGTCGAACCCGTCAGAGCTGGGTCGAGGACCAGGGCCGATCTGTACAGGCTCTATACACTGTACCACCGAACTCAGTCAATTTTTAAAACCTTTGTATCTAAAGAGGCCCTCAACTTATTGAACTCAAGTGCTTAACTACATAAAAAATACATTATTATCTCCTTTGATTGAAGTCAACATTGTAATGTAGCATTCACTGGACTTAGTTTTAGTGTTACCAAACCTTGACCAAAGTCTGAGGTCAGTCCTCTGACTGGCAGAATGAGCAAACACTTCGCCAAGAGCTGCTGGGTTTATCTGAAAAGTTACAACTCTCTAAAAATAAATCCTTATCATTTTGACCATTATCATATGATGGGGTTTGCACGTTTAGGCTTTTATTTTATTTATTTCCCCATCCTCATCTGAGGAAGTTAAACCGATTAAGGGGTCCAGGATTAGTTGAATATGTTGGGCTAAATATGTTGTAGTTTTCCTATTAACTAAAAAAAATTATGTTTGTGATACACCAAATTCATAATTACTTTGAAAATGTATATCTTCTGTTATACTTTTCCCCATGCAGGTCTATCTTTTTCAGCAGAAAAAGATAGTCATGGATGGATAGTCATCAGTCATGGACTGATGACGCATAGTGGTCCATTCTGTACTGTAATCTGTAGAGTAAACACAGGAAGGCTAACTTTATCACTTTCCGTTTGCGTTTGACTGGTGTAATTTTAGACAATGCCACACTGTGACACTATTGGCTGTAATTTAATAAAAAAAGAAAAGAAAGAAAAGAAAAAAAAATCAGGTGAATCTGGATAATTTCCCAAATGAAAGAAGAGCACAGAGCCAGACTGGAAAACAACTTCTGAAGGACTTAATCTGTGCCCTCAACATTTCTCCATAGAACCAGCAAAACTAAGGAAGGCTCTAAGAGGTGATCGTTACCTTAAAGAGCTAAAAATAAATGCCGTGCAGCTGCTGAGACAGGTAGAGCGAAAACCTCTATGAAATGCTAACAGAGCTATGCTGCCTTCTGACGCAGGAGAGAGCAAGGGGGAATCCACGGTTTCAAAAAAGTTACATACAGTAGCTTTAAACATATGATGCAGTGATAACAAAACCTTCATACGGACATATGGCTTTAATAACTTTAAATCACTGTATTTAGCTTTTCTTAGGTCGGCTCTAGGCATTTATCTAATTTATCTATTTCCAGACTCCAGTTTTGAAAATGGAATAAAGTCTATAAATATATATAAATGCTTAAATAAAGCATGTCTTGTCCATGTTCCCCACTGACAACTTGTAACAATTTTTCCAATTATTTTCCACAAATCACTTTGATCACTGCTCATTAAATAACAAGCAATCAGCAAATCAGTAGCCAGACCCCAGAGCATGGCAGAGCCAACAACTTTGTCCTCCAGGTAAGAGGCGTTTACTTTGGGACAAATTGGGACAAACCCTCTGGATTGATTGACAAGTGTCCTCATGTCAANATCATATGATGGGGTTTGCACGTTTAGGCTTTTACTTTATTACTTTTTGTTGTTTTAATCTGATTTTTGAATTGATATAATGTGTTAAAGCATTTTTGTCTGAAAACATTAGATAATGTTTTTATCTAAATGTTTTTATCTGAAACTGCTTGTCCTGGAGCAGGAAGAGGAACAGCTTGTCCTGCTCTCTCTCTCCCATCCTCACCTGAGGATGTTAAACTGATAAAGGATTCCAGGATTAGTTGAACATGTTGGCTTACAAATGTTGCAATTTTCCTATTAACTAAAAAAATTGCTGTTTGTGATACATCAAAACTTATAATTACTTTTAATATGTACAGCATATGCATATGATGCAATGATGACAAGACCTTCATATGGACATGTTGCTTTAATACTGTCAATCACTGTATTTAGCTTTTCTTAGGTTCGCTGTAGGTATTTATCCAGACTACTGTCTTGAAAATGGAATAAAGTCTATAAATATATAGAACATGCTTAAATAAAGCATGTCTTGTCCATGTTCCCCACTGACAGCTTGTAACCATTTTTCCAATTATTTTCCACAAATCACTTTGATCACTGCTCATTAAATAACAAGCAATTAGCAAATCAGTAGCCAGACCCCAGAGCATAGCAGAGCCAACAACTTTGTCCTCCAGGTAAGAGGCGTTTACTTTGGGACAAATTGGGACAAACCCTCTGGATTGATTGACAAGTGTCCTCATGTCAACTTAACATTCAAAATGTGCAACAGAGGTGACAAAGCACCCAAATGGACCCCACACCTCAAAAATGAATCTGGTACTGCTGGTCATCACACTTTTAGTGAGTAATTTATGGTTAAAACAACACTGAAGTATCAACACTGTACTCTAACCCTGAAATCTTAACTCTGGAGACTTTGGTTAGCGTCCTCAGATGGCTGCTCATCAGTTTGTTTGGAACAGTGTGCTCTATCCAATTTCATCATTGAAATTGGATAGAAATTGCTACTTGTGAAAGTAGCAAAATTAAAAGATCTACAAATAGCCAGTGGTTCTGCGGTAAGGACTAAAGGTGCTGGCTGGCTAAGAAGGCAGATCATTCTCCATCAGGTTTGCTGATGAAATGTCTTTTTTGAACCATTGTTTGAATTTTCTTAACATGTATGCTTTGTTTTGTCTTTTCTTCAGCTTGCAAATCTGCATCGTGTCGTCATCTGCACCATGAAGTTGTTGGCTGTGTTCTTCCTCCTTTTCTCCATAATGGAGAAATGTTCACTGGCACATGGTGACGGTGAGTATTTATTATATATAAAGAAATAATAATGTGACAAACATACCAACTCCTGTTTAAAAGATCTAAAGCCCCAGATGATGGCTCTCCTGGTGACGGTCAGTGGATGTTTTTATTTCCTCTACATTAGTGCCCAAAACGTAAACTCTAAAATGTATCTTCTTGTCTAATATTTTATTGAAACATGATGTATTCTCCATATTATTTAGTAGGCTTATCTTAAAATGTCTCCACCGCACTCCACTTTCGAAGTACACACTGACTTATTTCTCATCAATGTGAGAGATATGTTTTCAAATAAATTTAACGTTACATCATTTTGATGTTGCCAACTGTCACAAATAAGAGGCTTGCTATTAGGGCTGTAGTGATACAATAATCTCACGATACAATACACGATACTTACTCTGCTCACAAAACGATATATATTGCGATATTCATCAAACAATACAATTCAATACACTTTTGCAATTTTCTGAAAGATCTTAGAAGGACAGAGTGATTTTGGTGACTGTTATAGAGTTGGACTGAATTAGTGTAACTGAAAACTGATTAAAAACACAAACTACACAATACCTGGCTCTGGTTGGACATGAACACACACGTAAAGTCGACAGCTGCACAAAATGAATCATAGAAGTGGTGAGAAAACATGTTTCTTTTAATTGAAATAGTACAAACTGTAAATAAAGTGCACCAAGTACCCTGCTCTGAATAGTCTGATACCTTTTCAACCTTGACACTTAACATCTGAAGGAATCACTCTAAGCCTGATGACCTAATTACTCTCCTGGCGAAGCAAACAGTGAGTGAGCAAGGTGACAGTTGGATGTTACGATACTTGCGGATGAATATTGATTTTTTTTCTAGGAAAGAAAATATATCTCAAAATCGACATTATTACACAGCCCTACTTGCTATAAGGCCTTATTGCATTTGTTTGTCAGAACAAGTTAATTTGCTAAGGAGATCTGTTGAGTGTCCCACTGACTGGACTGCAATCAACGATCGCTGTTTCCGCTACGTTGCCGATGTCAAGACTTGGGCTGCAGCTGAGGTGATTTCCAAAAACAATGTTCTCTTAAGTTTTTTTTTTTTTTTTTTTGCTGTCTTTTAATGTACAGTTCTTAATTAAAGTCCAGCTACTTCTTCAGCACATCATTATGTGTTTATCTGTAGAAACACTGTCTGTACTTGGGGGCAAACCTTGCATCAGTTCACAGCCAGGAGGATAACCATCATCTTCAAGCTCTGATATTTACGGCAACTCGAAAGTCCAACAAAGCATGGATTGGAGGCTCTGATGGACAGGAGGTATAGCAACCAGTACACTTTGGTTGTTAAGTATTTTGTCAAACACTGAATGAAACGTGTCGTCTGCTGTACATTGTCTTCCAGACAAACACTTGGTTGTGGAGCGATGGAAGCCCTATGGCCTACACAAACTGGTGTCCAGGACAGCCTAATAATGCATTTCGCCTTCAGCACTGCATTCAGATGAACTATTCAAGTAAAAGAGAATTTCACACGATCTGTTTTTTCCGTTGCTAGAAGGACTCATGGGTGAAAAACTTATGTATTGTGCATGTTAACTTTTTAGTTGACCTATATTTACACCATTGACAAGAGGTGATAGTTTTATTTCCAAAATATTTGATGACACAGTGTAGGCCGCTTAGTGGTTTTTATGATGTGATGTTTAATTTGTTTTATTGCTCCTAGAAAAAAAGTGCTGGGATGACGTGAAGTGTTCTACTTTGCTGCCTTCCATCTGCGTCAAGAAAAACTCGCCACCCAAAGGGGCTGAGGCTTAAAACAGATCCAGTGGAGGATGACTGCTCAGTGCTTCTTTTTTCCTGCCAAATAAAAAACTAAATAAAAATTGTGAAATGAGAAACTCTTAGTTTCACCTCCTTGTAGCTTGTAGCAGAGGTGGGGACTCGAGTCACATGACTTGGACTCGAGTCAAACTCGAGTCATTAAAATCAAGACTTGAGACTTGACTTGAAAAAATTCTCAAAGACTTGGACTTGACTTTGACTTTCACAACAGTGGTTTCTGGATGGTAATGAAGCACATTATTTTGTGTCTTGGTTCATGATTCTGGCAAGCTTGATTCACGTAACGTGTTTTTATCAATACTGAGATGTGAAATTAGCTGTAGATTTAACCCCACTTGGACTGAAAAAAAAAAAAAGACTCCAAATGACTTGAAATTCCAAGCTCCCATCTTGAAACTTGACTCAACTTTTGCCTGACTTGAGACTTGACTTGACCATCTTTACTTGAGCTTAAGCTGTGTGAATCTCAAGAATCAATAAACTTCGATAGCAATTTGACCATTCAAAGCACTTTACACTACAGCCATTTTTTGTCTCTCCTTTTTCCCCATTATTTTTAAATCCTGTTTTGAGACTTGCAAAACAGTGACTTGGTCCCAACCTCTGGCTTGTAGTCATGCTGTTTAAATCAAATGTTGCAGCAACTTTTATTTCCATTAATAAGTTGCTAAGTCAGGAGTTTTCTCTGTGAAACATGCTGAGCACAAATTAGCTAAAATACAAAGTTGTGGGGTTGAAATAAGGAAATGACCCAGTTAGAAATCATTTTGACTTTGGGAGGCGTTTCATCTGCATGTGTTCAGATCGTGGCCCACGCTGGAGGGAACATCATCCAACCTCACAGTTTGAAAATCCTCCAAACCCAGGCATGACATTCCAGCTAAGGAATGGCCCAAAGAAGGCGTCAAGCCAGAGTTACTGCCACCAAGTGACATAATGGCCACTAAACAGAGAGCGTAACTTTTCAGTGAGAGCAGTAAAATGAGGAGCTAGCTGTGGCTCTGCAGCACAACCAAAAGATCTTCCAGTAAGTAAATACTGGAGAAAAAGACATGTAACACATTTTACTTACTTTCACAATAGGAAGAAATTGTAAGAGCGGAAATATTATTTAAGGGAGTTGTTTTTCTGAAAGGACTTGGCTTCGCACTAGGTCAACCTGACCGACTCCTTCCTTCCATTTGCGTGCAAAACGCAAATAGAGCCAGAATTTACTGGAAAGGATGTCTGTTGTACGAGATAAAATCAACAATTTGAGATAAATTGTCCTATTCAGCAATTCTGAAATGGAGCAGATGTTGAGTTCATGAGGTCCAAAATATTTTAAAGGCCGTCCAATACACACTCAGTATGAAGCGTGCCAGAATCTTTCTGCAAAACAACAGTAGCACGCCATTGGTTGAAATTTTCCAACACACAGTGATGAAGATGAGAAGGTATAAAAGAGGTCGATGTTAAGAGATTTTTTGTGACAAGACAATGACAATGAAGATTTTTGTACTAAACTGATGAAACTGTAATGAGGTATCCGTGGTAGTGAAATAAATCTCCGGCTTGTCTATGGCCTAGCAGCAAGAGCTACGTCTCTGTGCGTTATTTCTTTTACTTAGGTATTTAAGAGTATAGCCACCCTTCAATTCTTCAATAAAATCAGACCGCAGTCGCTGGTCAAAAATAAATATACTACATATGTAAAATTTTAGTATACTTGAGCAAACTAAGTCAGATTATTCATGAGTATACTTCATGTTCTCTTAGAATTAGTTAACTTAAAATCTGACATTTTGGAACAACTAATTTTGTGCTTAATGTACTTTAATAGTATTTAAATGTTATTAAAGCAAAATTTAAAGTGAGCATATTTTGAGTTTACTATTAATGTGAATGAATTACATTTAAAATATACTTAGAATGTATTTTCAATATATAGAAAATGCATATTTAATATATTAGTAATGTGATTAGACTATGCTACAATTACTTTTAGTTTATTATAATTGTCAATGAAGTAACTTTTTAGTTACTTAGTGTCTTATTATTCTGCTTTGCCACTTTTTACATTTCATGCTTCATACACACATCGGTACTGCAAACACATCAGGTACCAGAACACAGAAGGATCCATTACAACACACTTTCCAGGTGAAACACATTACATTGTGCTTTCAATATATTACCAATTTGGCAACACTTCATTTGATGGGGTGTGCATAATAAGACTGACATGACACCATCATGAGCATGACGAGTCTTTATGAATGTCTGACTGTTGTCTTGAAGTGTATTCCGGTAAATAATGACACTTTTAATGAGAAGTTTCTTTTAAAGTTATATTAAAAGTCCATTAAAAGCGCCACCTTTGCATTAAAATGTCATTATTTACCAAATATTGCAAACCTGGCATTTTAATGGACTTCTTGTATTTTAAAAAGTACTGAAAAAACAGCAAAGAAAATGTATGACTTACACTTTTAAGACGTTGTGGACTCTCTATGTATGTAGCATCATCTGAACTGATGATGATTGGGACCAGATGCCTGGGGTGGGAGAACTTTTCTGGATGTCTTTTTGCCTGTGTAAGTTAAAAGTAGAAAAAAAATAATCATCAATATATTAAAATCAGTTGATGTTGGCATCAACTTTGAAGCTGTTTTAAGTGTGGACTTAAGGAGACAAACTACCTTAAATTCTTTCCATCTATCTGAACACACTGATCCTTGCAGGGTGGTGAGGGGGGCTGGTGGTGCCCATCTCCAGCAGCCATCACATGAGAGGCAGGGTTCACCCTGGACAGGTCACCAGTCCATCACAGGGCCCTGAAAGCCAACAACAAATAAAATGTATGAAAGAAAAATGTTAGATTAACTAGGGGAATAAATTCTGTCCAATGATTTTCAAATTAAATAACATTTATTCTGCACTTAGTGTTGGAAACACACCAGTTTCTGTGTTAAAACTGTGGCCAGCTCAGGCCCTGCGGCATTGTGGGACATTGCCCACCCACAGAGTCCGCTGTGCCCCACCTTGGACTGGAAGCAGTTTATTGTTTCTACCTCAGAGTGGCCAACTCTCTGTTACTGCCATGTCCAGTTAATACAGTAAGGGCTTCCACACTTCCCTTATCTGGGCCCTTTAACTTTTTCTTCAGCAGTTAAAACTGTTTAATCCGTTGCTAACACATTGTAAGCTGTTTTTCCAACCACCTTCAAATGCAACATGAGCGATAAGACGATCGCTGGGTTTACACCTGTGTGGCAGCGAAGGAGACCTGATGCTGCTGTGCACAGCTGCTCAGGTGTGTTAGAATCATGGCAGCAAAGCAACAAAACGCAAAGAACTTTGCAGGTTTTCTAATTCCTGACGCCTGGCTTCCTCTTTCACCTTCATTTGCTTAGACTGCAAAAACACGGTGAAGATAAAAACAATGATGAACGAGTTATAACAGCAACCTCACAATATCGAAGTCTCTTTGGCATACTGAGCTTAATTAAAACCAGTTTAAGTTTATGATGAAGTCGCTACAAACAGCCTCCCTGCAGTTATAACATGAATGATTGTTATAGTAAAAACCATAAAAGTCACAATAAAATTGATAAAATAACTATTTCTGAAACCAACGTAAGCTGGTTTATATCTTTAATGCACTGTGTATAATTAAACGAAGATAATTAATAAGCAAACTTACCTCCAGCTAGCAACACGTTAGTAGCCTTCGTCCCTTCGGTTCCTTTCGTGACCCATATTTCATTTCCATCGGTTTTTGTCCTGTTGTGTTGTCGTCTAACTCAGACTAGGACGTCACCAGCTTTAATTTACCAAAACCACTAACTATTATCAAGGCCCTCTCTACTTTTAAGGCAATATTATGCGAGTAAAAACTGTGAATTTAACAGCGTCCGTTATCCTCTCTGGCTTCGTGGATTTTCTTCTTTTTATGGCACGCGCGTTTAAAAAAATCAACTAAAAGTGTGCAATACCGCCACCATCTGGTCCGGAGTAAGAACTGGAGCTAATGCCGTTTATTACTAGATCTTACCTGTTTTAGTTAAGAACCACTGATTTATAAGTAGTACACTTAATACTTTGTATACTTAAAATATATTTACACAAATGTAAGTATATTTGAAATATACTAAGTATATTTTTTTTCACTAAGGTCTGTAAGTTTCATTACTTCGGCTGAATCATGATAAACTCTCTTATAACTTGTCAATCGAAACTAGCAAAACTGGCTGCATTGCTTTTATACACTTCAGTTTTTTGTTGTTGTTGAAGGTAGCAAATATTTCAATGACATTTAGCTCTTTAACTCTTACTTTAATGAGATGAGTTTGAATCGGGAGGGGTGAGCGTTACCACTAGCCAACAACTGGTGTGGTGGAGAGAAGAGCAGATAGAAAATCAGAAATGTTTGCCTTTAAAACCACAATATTTTCCATAAAAAACCCTGGTGCTATGAGCGTTTACCTTAAGTTATGACACTTAAACTGCAGCCTATTTGTAAAGCTACTCCAAGACGAACATGTTGAGTCACAATTATTGTATTTAAGTTGAATCTGTTGCATCATTTTATCAATTTAATTGATTAGTTTTATAATTAAGTCGATACCATTTTCCTTTTTTTTATTTACTTTGTATTACCATTAGAGTATAATGGCAAATGGTAAAAACCAAAGAATGCATGGGGGGACACCTTTCTGGTCAATCCTGTCACATAAACTTTCACTTTACTTCAAATTACTAGTTTTTTTAAAAGGATTATTGTTGTTATTTTTCAATGGATTGACAGGAAATCCGCTGAAAAATGTGGCAAAGATCAATGGGTCGAGGGTCGAGAGTCGAGCCCGTCAGAGCTGGGTCGACGACCAGGGCCGATCTGTACAGGCTCCACACACTGTACCACCGACCTCAGTCAATTTTTAAAACCTTTGTATCTAAAGAGACCCTCGATGTTTTGATCTGAATTACTACATAAAAAAACATTTTAACTCCTTTGATTAAAGTCAACATTGTAATTTGACATACGCCCAAAAATTCACTGGACTTAGTTTTAGTG